ATATTTTTTTTTTATGTTAATGTACTGTCGATTGCACCTTTATTTGAGGTGACATCTGCCATGAACTTTTGTCAATTGTTCAATGTTTTGTATTGATGATCACTTTGTTGGTGCAACTTAATAAATAAATAAAACCAAATTTCAAACATTTAGACATTAGATGGTTCGATTTAAATGACCCTCTACTCTGCTGTCTGGAAGAGATCGCTCTTAGCGATAAGACCGCCAATTGTACTTTTTTGTATTTAATGTATCGCGTTTTTTTTTTGTGTACAATAAAAAATACTCTCTCTCTCTCTCGTGACTCATGTGTCATATATTTTGGTACATCATACATATTTAATTGCATAGACTGGCATACAGTCCACCAAGTTTTAAGTGATTACTGCAGCCCATGGAAATCATAAGATGAATACCGCTAGCGACCACGGAAAGTTGGGTAGGCATTAGGTAGGATAAGAACTCTAGGCCATGTCTTAATATGATACTTGACACTACAGTAAGATCCATTTGTTCATCTGAAATCATTTAAAAACTGTAGAATGGAATTTAAAGATAATGAAAAATATACCAAAATCGTAGTAATTGCTTATTTCTAATAGAAAATATATTATTAATTTTCAATAATAAGTAATATGTATGTAGGGGACACATTACAGTGGCTTCGTGATAGCTTGGGGATCATAAGTGAAGTGAAAGATTCCGAAGCCCTCGCAGCTCAGGTCGGTGATGGAGATGAAGGCAGTATTAGTTTTGTACCTGCATTTAATGGCCTTTATTCGCCATATTGGAGAAAAGACGCCAGGGGGCAAGTTGCATTAATTTACATAAAATTATAGTAATAAAGTCGTCGTAGCGTAAAGGATAAGACGTCCGGTGCATACGTATCTAGCGATGCAAGGCGGTTCGAATCCTGTAGGCGCGTACCAATTTGTCTAATGAAATACGTACTTAACAAGTGTTCACGATTGACTTCCACGGTTAAGAAATAACATCGTGTAATAAAAATCAAACCCGCAAAACTATAATTTGCGTAATTACTGGTGGTAAGACGTCTTGTGAGTCCGCACAGATAGGTACTACCACCCTGCCTATTTCTGGCGTGATGCAGTAATGCGTTTCGGTTTGAAGGGTGGGGCAGCCGTTGTACTGTACTGTGACCCTCACATACCACCAGGTGGGCTGTGAGCTCGTCCTTCCATATGAGCAAGAAAAAAAAAAAAAAAATTGGACCAAACTCACTAAATTAAACGTTAGACTGGACTGCCGCCACCAGCCTTTTAAATTAATGTCGAAGTCATTGCCATAACGAATATTCAATTCTCTTAAACGATTGTTATAAGATAGAGATAGGTTAGTATATCTAAACCTACTACTAGTTTGTCACTCCCTTAATTTTACAATTTCCGACATTTCGAATACACGACATTTTTCATTATTATTATGCTTATGTACAATACCAAAGTTTAACTTGTGGCAATCAAAACGAATTCGTTAGTTGTACAGAGGCCTAAACAATTTCGTTTCTACCGAACCAGGATCTATAATCAGTTTTTAAAGCATCAAAACATTACCGATCTATTTTCAGAGTGATGTGCGGTTTGAGCGAAAGGACTCGACGTCAGCATATTGTCAGAGCCGCGCTGGAGGCCGTGTGTCACCAGACGCGCGCCGTGGCGGACGCGATGGCTGCAGACTGCGCGTCCCTGAGGCAACTCCTCGCCGACGGAGGGATGGCGCAGAACTCAGTTCTGATGCAGATGCAGGCTGATTTACTGGGTATACCAGTCGTAAGTATTCTTCTTCTATATATCGTTCGCTCACTACTGAGGATCGCGACCGCATGTGACGTTCTTCCTCTGTGCTCGATCACGGGTGGCATGGACTGCATGGTACAGACTACCACCAAGTTCTTCTCTTGCTATATCTGACCATCTGGCTGATGTTCTGAAGTAAGTATTACGTGTCATTAAATTATATCACACGTTCAGTCTACCAATTTTTATTATTTTATAAAAATAAGCTAGTGTTAATTAGGCATTGTTATAAATCAACGTGATTAAAGCAAAATTTCAAAGCCCTAACAAATGACATTAACAAAATGAAATAGCCGTTTGACTTATACTATTAAAAAGCCAGCACTAACTAACCACCACTTAAACCTGAACAAATAACAACTTAATTAGTAAAATAAAATACTCATATTACTTCGCGCTTCTCATTCCCGCCCACTAGTCCAAGAAACAGCTTCACATACTTACGTTTCCGGTAATTTAAAAAACAGCCTAACACAACTAATTTCTGCAGATATATAATTTTGCTATATTTAATATTGATGCATTCTGCCTCCGCCGCCACTCGGCCGTGAGGATCGGATATAACTGTGACACTTTTTACATTGTCATTCAACAGTGTTTAATTATAATGATAAAAAAACACGCAGACTTCATTTTGAAGTCCATATATAATATATGATGTAGTAGTATATGTGTTGAAAATTAAAAAATAAATATATATATGCTGGCAAGAGCTGGATAAGAAAAGCCGAGTATTGTGCTCAGTGGCGTGCGATTGGAAAGGCCTATATCCAGCAGTGGACTGCTATAGTAGATAGTAAGAGATATTTCGATAATAATTAGAAAGACGCGAGCTATCTTTAAATATATTGCATTTCGTATTTTAAGGTATTTTTTTAATGGATTACTGATGATGTGTTCACACATCATCAGCCCACAGTCATCCACTGTTGGCCATAGGCCTCTCCCAATACACACCACTGAACCCGGTCTTCGGCTCTCCATTAATTAATTATTCGTCTTTGAGCTCACTATCACTCAATTCAAAATGTAATACATACTGTATTATTTACATTCCTACTATAGTTTCTCTTGTTCTTATTACCTAATCCAGATTTTTTTCTTCAGGCTGAAAACGTCTGCCTTTATTTAATTTTTTGTCGGTGTTACAGATTCGTCCCCTCATGATGGAAAGTACAGCCCTGGGGGCGGCCATTGTCGCAGGTCGCGCAATGCGTGTGTGGCCCACGACAATACCCAGCCCACCGGCCGATACATTCCTGCCGGCTCTTACCAATGAAGGTAATCAAATCTCAAAAACGTAGTACAAACAATATGAAAAATTGAAATACCTAGGCATTGGACTTTATGCTATTATTACCAGAAAAAAAATGCATTTGAAAATCAAATTATCACGAAAATTATTTTCTGCAGAACGAGAAATGCGGCGAGTTCGTTGGGAAGAAGCCTTGAATAAATGCATGGGATGGACCGATACTAAAAATGAACATGTCAACGCAGGTAATTTCTTCTTCTACTTACTTATTATGTGACTAACAAAATTATCGGAATTATCAAAATAAAATTATCTTATCTATTTATCCGAAACAGAAGCTAAAATGCTATTTTCTTGTGAAACATCGTATTTATCGAACAAGGTTTTAAAACTGCACAAAATAAAAATGAGGATCCTTATCACGAATATTTTTCTATTTTAATAATATATTAATAACAGGTCGACGAATATCAAATTTTACTACTAGAACTACCCGCATGGGTGAGCATTACCATCCTGTCGAGTTCTGTCACGAAGCAGTCCTGCGTTCTGGCTTTTAGGGCAGAACAACCGTAATACAATACAATTGAGATTTCAACCGCACATCTAGAGGTTGGCGGCTTTTAACGTCATGATACCTATGGGCTTCGATAATCGCTTAACTCTAGGTGGGGCCGTGAAATCGTCCACTACTAAACGATAAATTAACCAGACAAGTATTACAAAATACTAAACAGAAAATTACGTGCACTACCGCATAGAGCAGTAAGTGTAGGAAGGAGCGTGACGCGCATCAATATCATAGTATATTAATTAAACTAAACTACTTATAAAATCATGTCCTCGCGCTCAATTCATACTCAGGGTCATATAATTGTTTGATCTGCCATCTTACAATAGGTATTGAGTAATATAAAAACAAAACAAAGAATTTAAGTAAAATTGTTATACTTTTTTGGGGAATTTAAAGTGTTTGGCAAACGTTACTGATGACGAAAAGTTAAAATTTACATTAATCTTTGAAACATCTGTAAATGAACCCCAAGGCTTATGATTGAAAAAAAACAGTTCTTGTATACGTTTAACACCTGGTAACCTGGAAATCGGCCGTAGCCCAAGCTAGCAAGTATGCACAACACACTGAAAGTATATAGAAATACTACTTTATTTTATATTGTAGTTGAGAAAATAAAGAATGCGTAGGAGCCTTTGGTTTCTTGCATAATGGTAAAAAAAACAAATCCAGTTTTCTAAAGAGAAAAGATCTTTAAGAGGTGATTATTATTGATAAAACTTTCTTTTACAGAAGAATCAGATAGAACTACTGCAGTTTTGCCGCCGGGACTTTTTTTCCTCGGAACCGCCCTACTAGTGATTATTGCAGACAAATTAAAATCTATGTAGTATGCTGTTGTTAAATCAACTATTGTTAGTCATTAGAAAATAAATATACCTCCAAAGCTAGTTTATATTTTAAAAAAGTATTAATTTATTTATAGCTCTGTTATAACAATGTTGTGATCATTAAATAAAAGCGTTTATTATTATACAATTTTGTTTCCTTACAGGAAAATTAAATAAGCCCTTTAACATAGAATATAAATCTGCAATTCGAAGTGATTTTTGTATTTTATTTTTTAAGAAGATCCAGCAAACTAAATATTTAATTTTTTTTATTGCATAGATGGGTAGACGAGCTCACAGTCCACCTGGTGTTAAGTGGTTACCGAAGCCCATAGACATCTACATCGTAAATACCGCCACCCACCTAGATATATGAGTTCCAAGGTCTGGTGTAGTTAATCGTATAGCAATATTTCAGATTAAGGTTTTAACATTTGTATTTGTGATTTTGAAAAACATGAATGAAATAGAAAAACTGCATGTTTTAAATACAAACAGACGAAATTTTATTATTAGGAATAAATTTTTTCATGGTGCTTATTTCAACTGATTTGTTGTTGTACTTTACAAATTCTTCACAAGTTTTTAGGAAATCCATTACATATTATTATAGTATAATTAGATAATTCAATCAATATATGAACTGTCTTAACAGTTTTTAAAAAGAATGATAATTAATAATCACATTAGGAAAGTGAGTTCATCCTTTTATAACTGCAATTGGTCTTAATTTAACAGTTTTTTTGCTAATACCAGCAGCATGACATGTATCTACGACATCTGTTACATTCTTGTATGACTCTGGTGCCTCTTCCATTACTAGTTTTGGAGATGCAACTCTAATGGAAATACCCATAGTTTCAAGTTTGTTTAGAACTTCTTTGTAGTCTATGTTTCTTCTAGACTTGGCTCTAGACAGAGCTCGACCCTGTAACAGAAAAAAAATCAGTAGTGAGAAAAAAATCTTGGGTTTTTTTTAGTTGCAATCCATAAATTGACAATATATCCACTTTTTTCTGAGATTCTTTTGTTTCATTTGCAGTAATGGGTCCTCACACCTATTAAATGTTATTTATTGGATGTAGTACTGCTAAACTGTAAGGATTTTTTTAAATTATAGCCTTAATTTTTTTTCACTGTACTACCAACAACAGAGCACTCAATTCCTGCAACCTGGAATCACTGATTACATGCACAGTATCTTGTTACCACATACAAACTAGAATAAAGTATTTTTTTAATAACTAAATAACAATATTAAATATTACATTCTTTCAGAGGAGAACAGGCCGACCAAACTCTTGGTTTTGATAATGCTTACTCCAGTGTCGCTAACTATTTACTGTCATGTGGACCTTAGTTTTATCCATTTTCACTGGCAACACTAAAGATAAGCAATCTGATGAAAGCTATACTTACAGCACCATGGCATGTGGATCCAAACGTTTCTGTCATTCCTTGATGAGTACCAGTTAGTACATAACTGCAGGTTCCCATTGTACCACCAATAAGTACAGGCTGACCAGTTAGTTGATAATCCACAGGTATTAATGGATGATTTGGTGGGAATGCTCTAGTTGAGCCCTGTAATGAAATATAAAATTAAAAAAATATTATTCAGCCTTAATATTGGATGAATTGTAGAATCTAAATTCACCCTACCTTCCTATGTACTAGTAGAGTTTTCAATTTCCCATCTACTACATGTTCTTCAACCTTGGCAATATTATGAGACACATCATATATGACATGCATGTCAAGATCATCAGGTGCCATTTTAAATTGCTTCGCAAAAGCTTGACGGGTCAAGAATGTCATTGAGCTACGGTTCACCCAAGCAAAATTGGCAGCAGCAGACATAGCTTTAAGATAATCTTGACCTTCAACAGATTTTATCCTGGCACATGCAAGTTGTCTATCATTAGTTTCTATGTTATCTCTCTTCATAGCTTTCTCCATTTGCACTAAAGCATCAGTTGCTACTTGATGCCCAAAACCACGACTTCCAGAGTGAATCATCACACAAACTTGACCAATACTTTCAATACCCATTTTTCCAGCAGCATATTTATCAAATATTTCATCAACAACTTGAATCTCTGCATAATGATTTCCAGCTCCTAGTGTGCCCAGTTGAGGTAGACCTCTTTTCTTTGCTCTGAGACTGACTTTTGATGGATCAGCATTCAACATTCTTCCATATTCTTCACAGTGTTCCTTATCTTCGGCCCAAACATAACCTTCCCTTAGAGACCAGTCCATACCCATTTCTAATGCTTCTTCCAAATCACGTGCATTCATTGGAATAATACCCTTGGAGCCAACTCCAACAGGTATATGGTCAAACAAGCTCTGAGCTAATTGTTCCTAGATAAAAAATTTAATTAAATAAAGTGTTACTTCTTTTATTGAATATAATTTTATGGTTAAAATAGAAAATATTACCTTAATAGGTAGAACATCCTTCTCATGTAAATTTGTTCTCAATAAACGAACACCACAGTTTATATCGAATCCTACGCCTCCTGGAGATACTATAGATTTGGGATCATCCATATCAAAAGCTGCCATATTTCCTAGTAGTAGAAAATTGAATTGATTTTTCATTGTAGCATCCATTTTAAAGTTGAATATTTCAATTTAAAAAAAATAATATTATTTTCTATATATTATAGTATAGTATAATTCTAATAATTGCATAATATATTTTTTTATTACTCACCTATAGCGAAACCATATCCAGAATGAACATCAGGCAATCCCACTGACCGGCCTACAATTCCCGGTAAAGCTGCAACATTAGCTATCTGTTTTACACCAGGAAGGAATCCACCTGACATACCAGGTCTACAACAATTCCTAAGCTCCTCCAACATTAGTTTCTCAAGTGTACTGTTAACGTAAAACACTCCTTCAACATTCATATTTGGTTGGAAGCCTTTTTTAATTCTCCAACAATATGGATTAATTTTTTCCAAATATTTAAGTTCTTCATTATACTGCCTTACAACCATTATTTTGCACTACTTGTGTATCGAAAAGGTGTGTTAATGCTATTTAAACCTACTGGATAGGTTTGAAAAACGTAGGTAAATGGCAATTGAAAACTTAGTTGAAAATTGAAAGAAGCGTTCAGAGAAGTGCAAGCTCGAATTTATTAAGTCTCAAATATATTAAGTGTATAATCTATGATAATAAGTGTATAATCTATGAGTGCAAGTAAGTGTATTATCTATGGAGAAGTGTTTGCATGTTTTACCATGGACTTTTTAGCGGGAACGCGAGGTCTGAAGTTGTGTGATTTGTTTTATTTTGTCTGTTTAGTGTTTCTTCAGGTTCAAATGTGTCATAGCGGTGGTTTATTAACTGCTTAATATCACCACCATTTTACTTAGATTATATTTCATCTCATCTCATTTAATTTAATTTCATCCCAGTTGATTAAGGTCTCAAATTAATCATCCTCATTTCATTTCATTTCTGTTGGACGGTTAAATTTGAGGGGACTGGGTTCTGTAGGTGATGAGGGGCTATTTAAAAACGCTCTGCTTCATGGTTAATATAATTATATTGCAAATACTTTGTACACTATAACACCAATATAATATTTAATTTTTATAAAACTCTTAAATGTTGCTCTGACCGTGTCTAGATGAGAAGTCATTGTCTTCACTGAAGAGAGGACAATTATATGTTTTAAACATTTATATACGGTACGCATTCCAATATTCGAAATCTGTAACCTTACATGTGTCAAGTGTTGCCTGCCATTACTTTCATATTCAAACTCCGACAATTTCATTTCATTTCACTCCATATTAACATTTTTCATAAAAATAAGAATATAAATTAAAATAAGACATGACTTATAGGTCTTAGTTATCAGGTCATAAAATCCCATTTAATAATGTATTGTATTTATACCATAATTAATATACTTTAATGTCCGTAGAGATATTTTTGTTTTTTTCACTGTTTAATAACACAGTTTTAGTGTTTGAACATCCTAAACGGTTCTATTTGAGGGGCTGGGCTCTGGAGGTGAGGAGTTATTTTAAAACACTGACTTCATGGTTAATTTGAATTACGAACATTACGCTATTAAACATTTACAATATTTTATGTTTATATAACCCTAGTATGTTTTACTGTCCGTGTCTAGATGAGAAGTCAATTGTCATAACAGAAGACAATCAACTGTTTTAACTACGTTTTAACATTTAATTATATCTACCTCACTGAAGTAGGAAACCTATGGAAATGAAATGTCAACAAAAATTCGTGCCACTGTGACGTCATCTGACCACAAAACATGGCGGTTTTAGTGCTATACAAAAGATTTCAATGTATCAGGTTTTATCGATAAACGTTCTTGGCTCATTTTATTTTAAATATTGTTGAGTATTATTTATTTGTAGAATTTATACTTTAATGGGAAGTAAGTAGGTATATTGTTATGTGCAAATATGATATGATTTAGATGTGTGAAATCTAAGACAAGTTCATCCTTCGAATTTGCCAAGTAAACGATATGATGATTTTTAAAAGTTGCTACACTGATTTTATAAAGTTGTCGTTTGCCGCAAAACATAAAGATATGGCGTAGTACAGTGCCATCTGCCCATTTCTAGCATGCTGAATGTTATCGTGTTTTGAGTACGTGTTTTTCTTAGACTATTACTATCTATTTTAATTGTTTTGTTGACTCTTAAGTCCGTAACACACTACCGCAGCGCACCTCAAGAAAGGTGCGCTGCGGTCACTTCACTTAAGTGACAAGTGTTGTCTGCCATTACCATGGAGTTAATAAGTACCTACAAACCATTACCTACTTAAACATTCAAACTCCCACAGAATGTGATAGGAATCAAGTGGTCTTTTTTCAATTACAGATTTACAATTTCCGTTGTAAAAAGCTGGCATTCGTTTCCATCCATCCGTATGGCTACATATTGTTACTAATAGTACATATTGTTGCCGTATTAAATAGTATTATTTAATTGAATTGTGTACTATTAGTAAAATAAGTATTAAGTATACCCATTAAAGGGATCTTTAGGGCGTAGATGAAACTATTGTAGAACGTAAAACTACATGTTATGTCTATGCATGTCTACGGACTTAGAAAAAATACGACAAATCTACTGCGGCGTGGTTCAAGGCAATAATTAGTGTCTTAATCTGAGACCCGAACAAAGATTAAGTAGTGTCCTTAATCATCTGTGAAAATCCTTGATCATTTTGAAAACTATAAGAAACCTAAAGGTCTGGTGATCAATGGCCGTAAACAAATCGTGGAAAAAGAGTAAATTTTCTTGATTTCATAACCAATTGGCCAATATTATATGTATTGTCAGATAAATATAATTTAAAGGTAATAAGAAGAGTTCAATCAGTGAATTTGAGGATAGTAGTCTTTAGAATGGCCGCTTTGATAAAACTACGCCATATGCCCTTAGTGCAAAGAAGCGTTTGGAATCATTTCAACAAAGTAAGTCGGAATATTTCCACCTCTAAAAAGAACAGCGACACCGCCACAACTGCTTGTGAGACCAAAACAGAAGATAAGAACTGGGTTAGCTACGGTTTTGACTATACGAGCAAAGAAGAAGACACTAATGCCCATCACGCCACCTTTTTCTTTTCTGTAACATTATGTATTGTTTTTGGTGGTGTCTGTTGGGCCTATTCTCCCGATGTACACATGAGGGACTGGGCTCAGCGTGAAGCATTTTTGGAATTAAGACGTCGTGAAAAAGCAGGTCTTCCACCGATCAGTCCCAACTTTATTGATCCCAAACTTATAAAGCTGCCTGATGAATCCGAGTTGTGTGATGTTGAAATAATCATCTAAATATAATCACTCTATCCAATACATATGGCATATGTAGAAGAATTCAGTACATAGTAAAGTTATGTTAACAGTTTGTTGTTTTTAATTTAGCCATATTAAAAAAAAACAGATTGTAAATACCTAAGATTGCTATACATTTAGTATTACTTATACTTATAGAAAATTTGTGTAAATATTTCAGGATGAATTAAATTTAATATATACGAAAGTCATGTTTGTATATATGAGTCGACTNTGGCATATGTAGAAGAATTCAGTACATAGTAAAGTTATGTTAACAGTTTGTTGTTTTTAATTTAGCCATATTAAAAAAAAACAGATTGTAAATACCTAAGATTGCTATACATTTAGTATTACTTATACTTATAGAAAATTTGTGTAAATATTTCAGGATGAATTAAATTTAATATATACGAAAGTCATGTTTGTATATAGGAGTCGACTATTATCAAAGCCGGCAATGTGACTTTTGGACAATTATTGGTAAATCAGAAAAACAAATTATTGACTTTGTATTCTATTGGCAGTTACAAAACTCTTCTGAACGACATTTTAGATAAATAACAGGTTAAGTATTAACCTTTATTTAATGCAGGTTTTGAACCGTATTCTTTGAAGGAGACGATTAAATTCAAATCAATCTGTATTGACATATCAATAACATTTTTTTGTCCAAATGCACAGATTGCCACCTTTGATAATAGACAACTCATATGTTCCTTGTAGAGTTTTTTGATATACATTATAGTGATCACGACTGCTCTGAAAAATCTAAATAACTAATATATGAAGTCGTCCTGTCTCAAAGGTGTAATCATATTGAGTTATAGTGTCTAGATTGATGTTTAAATCTGGCAGCGAGGTACCAATTTTCCATATGATACATGTACCTAACACATGTTCGCAATAAAATTTCAGGGTGGAGAAAAAACATCTTGTAACAAAAACCAACCAGATTACTGGTGATAATTAGACACTTTCTTGAGAGTCTATGTGGCTAGGTACCACCAACCAGTGTATTTCTGCATTGAAGTGATGTGTTTCAGTTTGAAGGATGGAGCAATTGAACTATAAAGACGATTTAGAACTCATATGTCAAGATGGGTGGTGACATTTACTTTGTTGATATCTATGGGTTCTGGTAATTACTTACAGTAATCACTGAGCTCATTGACCAATCTAAGCAACAAAAAAAGGCAAGACAAAGATAATAAAATTCAAAGGTACAAGTGTAAATAATTTGATGCAGTTTTGTAATTTTTTTTTTTTTAGTTATTCTCCAATTGTGGAACAGTTCCTGGTATTGTATTAGGTTAACTAGATCTTAACTGATTTATCAATTTCGCCAAAGCCCCTTTACCGCGATAAAAGTGAAAAGTGCTATTTCTCAAGGTCATGTTCTCAAATATATCTTTCTGTTTCCACTCTAGTAGAAGATAATTTTGCATTTCAAACTATAATTTGTCAGAAGAAATTACCTTTATGGTAAACCGAGAAGAACACCATGTTTTTTATTTGCAAAATTGGAACCAAAGAAATCCTATAAAAAACGAATTAAAGGATAAAAACAACACAAATAATTTTTAATATTAGGGCAACATAATTTATTAAAAAAATCATGAATTATAATATATTCCCACTAACATTACAATTCCTGTGATGTGAAAATAGTCGAGTCTAGAACTTATAGCTCCCCGTGCACTAGGCGGACGGCCTGCGGCAGCCAGACGAACAAATGGCGTTGCATGGGAGCCAGCCCACTCCCGACTAGGCGCGTTAACACCTCTGCCTCCGCCATTCGCCCAATCATGATGTACGATCAACTCATACTGTGGGCCCCGAAGGTCAAATACTGAGGCGTCACCCTTGACAGAGGGATGACATTACGCCCCCACTTAAAGACGGTACGCGACCGTGCCACCTTCATACTAGGACGCCTCTACCCGATGATTTGCAGGCGAAGTAAATTGTCCCTTAGAAATAAGGTGACACTCTACAAAATTTGCATACGCCCCGTCATGACCTATGCAAGTGTAGTGTTCGCTCACGCGGCCCGCACTAACTTAAAATCACTCCAAATTATGCAATCCCGTTTTTGCAGGATAGCCGTCAGAGCCCCGTGGTTCGTCAGGAACGTCGACCTCCATGACGACTTGGACTTAGAGTCCATCAGTAAGTATCTACAGTCGGCATCGATGCGCCACTTCGACAATGCGGCACGACACGACAACCCCCTCATCGTGGCCGCCGGTAACTACATTCCCGATCCTGCAGACAGAATGGAAAGCAGTCGACGTCGATGTCACTAACGGTGCTTTTAGGTACCTCAAGCACCGGTCATCGTTCTCGTCGAACCCGTCGCTTGCGACGAAGGGCTCGACGAGTAAATTAACCCACAGACACAGCCCACTGAGTTTCTCGCCGGATCTTCTCAGTGGGTCGCGTTTCCGATCCGGTGGTAGATTCTGCTAAGCACGACTCTTGCTAGGGTTCTTGTTAGCAACGTCATCAGGTTTGAGCCCCGTGAGCTCACCTACTAATTAAGGTTACGCTGATTTAACCTCTCAAGACTATCAGCTTAGGTAGGAAACTAAAGGGAGCCAGCGCACATAGTAGCCCCGAAATCCTGGCTGCGGTAGCCATTACAACGCGCCTGTTGCACGGCAGATCATTGGCTGCATGCTGCCAGAGCGAGTGTTGGCGAATGTATGTGGCTGCTGTCAGTCTCCGCACACTTGTAGCAGTCAATGCATATTTGTTTTGCCATTCAAATCGTTAACAAAAGAGTCCGCAAATAAATCCCTATAAGATGCTGATGATCAGCTCCTATTTGAGGGACCTGGGGTTATTTCCAATTTTGGTGGAACTTACAGTGTGTCTTTAAATTTATACCCGTCTCTTTCACGCACTTAGTTATGTAACGCACAGCATGCTTGTACAAACTCGTGTAGTTAAAAAGCGGTCTGGGTATGTACGAACATCTTTAAAATAGGTATAGAATTATACCGCTCGGCGAAAGGATCACAAATGGCTGTCGATTGGCTGCCATAACTGGTTGCGCAGCTAGGCTGCCTAGTGCGCGGGGAGTGGTACTAACAATACTTACAATATTATTAATTTCGTATCAGTAACATAATAATCAGTTTACAGTTTACTCCCAAAGCATCTTCTAAATTATTAAAAGGAAAACTTTTTTAAATCATGCATTCTAACTATGCACTCTCTATCTATGCATTCATCAAAACTATCTTTCCATCTGCAATTGCAGCATAAACATTATTCAAATTACTAGATAGTGAATTAACGCAAGCTCCAAGATTCACTTCACCCGCTGCCTCCAGCTTATCACTTACTATCTTCCACCTCCTGACAAAACCATCCCACCCTGCAGTCCAAACGTAGTCTCCTGTCACAGCTATGCTGGTAACTATCATGTCACTTACCTGTGATATAAGATACTCATTAAATGCTACGTACAAATGTCAAATAATTTCATATCTAAACTGCGATTCTGATTCTCCGAAATACCGTATAAACTTATCATTTATTCGTAGCGTATAAATTGCCGATCTATTTGTCAATATTTTATTGACAATATGATTTGTGCGTTTTTCGTTAGATTTAAATAATTATTAGTGTTAGATCCGAGAGCAAATACGTGATGTAAGTTATTACTAACAAGACTTCTCAGAACACAATTGACAAAACCATTACTTAGATTTTGTGAATATCGAGCAAAGTACATTGATTAGATAATCTATTAATTTTTTTTATTGAAAACTCATTTATTTAGAGAGTTAAAGTAGAAATTTCTGTGATTCCATTACATCGAGAGGTACAAGGGATAACATTGTACTCAGTTTTAGTTACATATGATTTATAATGTTATTCCTTGCATGTATCGATATAATGTATCATCATCAGCTTCAGCTAAAAACCTTTACTGTTTTAAAGACATAGGTCTCTTTCAAGATTCACTGTAATAACCGGTCTTTCGGTACCAGCATTCAGCGAATTGCTGCAACCTTTAACATGTCGGCAGTCCTCCCTGCCACATGTAGCGCCTTCTGGTGCAAGCAAAACCACATTATGAGAGAAACATTTTGTACTCCGAAAAATAATATGACAGACCTTTATTTCGTGTAACAGTTTGAAACCTGTATCAAAAGAGCTGTCATGTAATCTGAGGCTATTGCCACCTCTAGCCACAACTAAAAGCTTTGATCCTACTACTCTTAATGGTGCACGACCTTCCATTGTACGACGTGTGATAAAACGCGTTTTAGATTCGTCTGAAACAAACACAAAATATTTAAACATGTTTCGTAAGTATTCTTTATGTTGGGAATTCTCATTTGGGGACAATTCTGGAGACCCAAGTACCATTGATTAGACACTAGTTCGACTAGGGAAAACTTTGTCTCAGCCCTAGTATTAGAGCACAGAGAATCCAATCTGTTTTGGAGAAAGCCTGTATCGTGTAGCATATGGATCGTAGATGTAAGGAAAATCATCTCATATGGAAAGTTAAAAACTTGTAAAAGTGTCCAGCTGTATGCTATAAATAATAGTTCAACAATTTCTCACAATCGCGCTATTGCAGACAAAGGGTAAGGTATGAACGTAGTAATTGCAGTCAATGTTATGACCGCTTTCTGAAAAATAAATTATTTTTTAGCGAAAAAAAAATGTTTTAGTACGTCAATTGATTAAAGGTTTCGGTGTTTTACTAACAAAAAATTTACCTAGGTGCAGAAATTGAATGCTTTTATGGGATATTTTTTATTTTCGTTTTCTTTCTCATGATCTTTTGAACTCTAATTTTAAATGTACTTATTCATCTCTCATGTTTATTTAATTATATTTATTTACTTATTTATTTTCTATGCCACAATTCTTTCTTCTTATTAATATATTTATTTTTTAATATTCACAAATAGTTATATGATACGTGAAAAAACATAAAATGTTGTTTTCTAATTTAGGTGGATTTTGAAAAGCGCACCATAATTTAGCGGAAGTTTTTCTTTTCTTGTTTATTTCTCAAACCTACTCTAATACCCTGTTTTCCAATTACAGCACAAGAGCGCATTATGCGGCATAATGCTCAACGTTGAATGTTTCAACTACAGCAACGCTTCGCACAATCGAGCACTCTCAAAAGTAATGCTCTCGCGTGATACTCGCAATCGNGCATAATGCTCAACGTTGAATGTTTCAACTACAGCAACGCTTCGCACAATCGAGCACTCTCAAAAGTAATGCTCTCGCGTGATACTCGCAATCGATACCGACTCGATTGTGCGAAGCGTTGCTGTAGTTGAAACATTCAACGTTGAGCATTATGCCGCATAATGCGCTCTTGTGCTCTAATTGGAAAACAGGGATAATATTTGGCGCTTCTTTGAAAAATTTACCCTTATGCTAAGGTGGCGCCACCCTAATTTAATACATTTCGACGCACACTTTTCATATACACAGTTGATTCTCCTTACCTCTACCCCCCATAGCGTAGGGGAAAGATAGTTGACATCGGAGTGTCAATCGCGAGAACAGGACGGGACAAATTCGAAGCTTCATGCTTCGGATAAACTCCGCCAAACTTTTTTCATTAGCGTAGTTGGATAAACGAACGGCTTCCCTAATGTTGAGCCACGTTTTGAGATATTACCCGGTCGGCGGTGTATCGCGTTCCGACCCGGCAGGCTAGTTCTGTCCCAGCGGGATGTCCCGGAACACCAGCGGCATCGCCCGGGCGGCCTGGTAGGGCCGCCGTACCGCGGAGACCGGCGTCGTTGGTCGTCGACTATCGCCTCGACGACCTGTCGGTCGGGCGTCCTCGGGGTGTCGCCGCGTGTCTGGTTTTAGTGTTGACCGCGGGAACCCCCTTACTCTGACCGGGCTCTGACCCCAGACGGAGATCGGACGTCGGATATAAGAGTGCAGAGGAGTTCTTTAGTGCGGGCCCTAAAATTCCTTGGGCCTTGGTCTGCTCCCAACTCCTTGCAGATCATCAAGTCCCATATACCACGTGCGCGCGCGCCCCCTAGGCGCGGGGACCTCGTAGGAGGTTCAGCCCCCGGCCAGAAAAAAGAAGTTTGAAAATATTAGATTCTTCTTCTTTTTCTCCACCTTATCCCACTAAGTGACCAATACCGGTCTCTTTGTTCTGAAATGTAGGATAGCTGGGTTCCAGTTTCACCAAGACAGGACAGGGCGAGCAAAGGTAGGTACAGCCAGGAGGGAAGGTATTTGCTAAGCTGTCCGAGCGCCTTTAAAGGAGACCTAACAACTCAAGGGCAGCTGCTTCGCGAATGAATTTACTAAGGGATCAGAATCGCAACCGGCTGAGAAGATCCAGCGAAAACTCAGCGGGCTTATGTATGGGTTAGGAATGCCGGTAACATACTATACCAGCTAAAACTATCTATTCAGATAATCTGACCCACGATGCTATTATTATTTTCATTTATCTTAGTAATCGGTCACATAAGTTACCGGGAAATCGAACTACTAAAATACCAAGGAAAAGTCTCACCTGGTTTTATTTCAGTAACTGTCACATCTAAATCTCTAACAGTAAATAAATAAGGTGCATCGAACCATAGATCTTTTACTTCCTCTAAAACATTATATTTCGCTTTTTCAACGCCATTTTCATAAACCACAATCTGCAACAAGATTTCAATTGAAGTCAGAACCAGACAAGTGGTAGCTTCGTTTAATAAAATAAAATGTAAGCTATAACCAATCCTATACAATTGTAGGGCGAGCTATTAATAACCCCGGGTAGCTTTTGGTGTTTTTTTTGTTATTGCCCGTATAGGCAGAGGAACATACGGCCCGCCTGATGGTGAGTGGTTACCGACGACCACGGACGTCAGCAATACGAGGGGCAGAGCCAAGCCGCTGCCTACAGTTTAAAATATTCATAGATTAGAATAATCAAAGATCGATTTTTTTCCATTAGGTACACTAGTGTTTCTATACTGTAGGCCAAGTAACAAAATGTAAATAAATAAACTTCCTGGGACAATAGGTTCGAGACATCCAGATATTGACTTCGTTCGTTTTAGATTAGGTGTGTGTTCACGACATATTATGTATATTTTAATGCTTATTTAAGGCATATTATAATGCTGATCTTAGAAAAAGTATATTGATGCTGAAGACTAAGACTCTAAGACACTCAACAGACAAATCGAGGGATGTAACTATAAGGGCTCCAAACATCTGGGAGGTAGTTTCATAACTGCGTCTCAAGGAAGCAGCATTCATGTAGTGATAGGAATCAAATATCGCTTCTCGGTTTCATTAACGTATGTGACCCGGAGAGGAATATCTGCATGTATTTTTGAAGTTGTCATGTCCTAAAAGCTAAGACACACGGTGCATTTGTAATATGCGAAGCGACTGTGCCGGTGTTCAAATCCCACAAGTAGGTACCATTACTTGTAATGAAATACATAGTTAACAAATGCTTAGGAAGGAAGTGAAGTGAAGACAGTGGAGGAATAACATCGTATAATTAAATAAAACCCTCAAAAATTATAATTTGCGTAAGTACTGGCAGTGAACGTATTGTGAGTCTGCACGGGTAGGTACCACCACCCTGCCTATTTCTGGCGTGAAGCAGTAATGCGTTTCGGTTTGATGGGTGGGGCAACCGTTGTACTGTAAAAACTTAACTCAGAAATCAAGTTCTTGCGGTATTTACGTTGTTGATCTCTATGGGATTCGGTAACTAATTAACGCCAGGAGGGCTGTTAGATCATCCACTCAGCTAAGCAATAAAAAATATAATAAAAATATACATGGAATTTTATATGATTATCTATCTATCTCTATCTCTTAGGTTTATGGCGTTTCCTTTTAGATTTCGCCAATGTCAATATATGATTATTGTAGTACAATTTTTAACTGACAACATGTCGACGACCTGGCTGTCAGGAAATCATAGACAGTATAAAATATATTAGGAAGATGATGACCGAAATTTAAAAGTGAAAGGATTTTGTTCTAAATCACTGTAAACTACTTAAGAATTAAATACTAAAATATTGTTCTTCTTTGGCATTTGCCCGTATATTTATATGAAAGTATTTAAAAATTTTCAAGATTGTTGGACTGAATTATTATATGGTAGATACCTACATTCCCAATTTCATCTCCAGCAAAGACCTGCTTCCCAAAAACACGCAACACACCGACATCCCCTCCGTTCAAAGGGAATTCTTTAATTTTTTCGCCATCTGAATTCCATACTCTGATACATCCATCGTTAGAAGAAGAATAAATATTTCCTTCCCCAGCTGCCAACGCAAACAATTGGACGGAATGCGCTGGCCATGATGTATTTGAAGACAGATCAGCGCTGTAAGACTGAATTTGCGAACTGAATGTAATAAGACTGAAATTTATTTTGTACAACTTAATCTAATCGACCTAATCTTATGAAAAAGCGAAGTGTAATCTTATGAAGGACAGGAAAAGTCTTTCTGTAGGAAAACAAAGTATTTTTTTAACTTTTAAATTTAAATTAAATATGATATTAAACATTTAAAGTTATTTAAAAAATATATTATCCAGGACTTATGATTGTACATTGTAATATTAGTTATTTTGGTTCCGGTTACAAAGGACAGGCCAACGGATATAAAACACAGTTATAAATGCTATTGAGACTTCAGTCTTATGACTCGAGATGTCTAATCACCATTATGGACTCCGATGAACTGTAGTCAATCTCTCAAGCACTAAAAATAAAAGTTAGCTAGTTAGTAGCAAAAATAAATCTAGGTATCGTAATACTTATTATTATAGACATAAATGGTTGCTTAATAAGGAAATAGCACTATCTCGTTAATGTATGACTCTGTTTTACCTCAAAACAAAACAAAAAGGAAACTTACGTATATGTGACCGCTTTCTGTACCTACAAACAATTTTTCATCCCAAGCGAGAACATACGGTACAGAATCAACTTTAGTTTCAGCTTCAATTTTTATACTCATATTTTATTATTATTTAGTACTTTAGATGGAAATACTAGTAAATTACGGCTACGCGTACGATGCTCAGGGCAAATTATAGATTATACAATAATTAATATAAAGAGCAAACTCCGCGCAGGCAAGCATACGAAAGCAACTGTTCACTAAAATAGATCGCGGAGGCGGTAGTGATCTTTATGAAGTATGTTTTTAGATCAATAGTTACAGATGCATGTTTTATCCACATTCAAATTTTGTTTGTAAAAATGATCGGCACCAGATACTTAGTTACAAAAAGATGACAAACTGTGACATAGCATAAAACAAACGGTTTCAAAACTGCGCTTGTTTTTTAAAGAAATGCTAAATTTGTATCAAGAATAGCAAAAACCGACCGGTCGCGTCGGTTGCGACCGAGTGTTAAACAATGGACACTGCATTAGAGTTCCGTAGCCAAATGGTAAAATCCAGAAACTTACAATTTCGTTCTATTTACCTGTCTGCCCGTTCGCATATCACAGTTAATTTAACTACTGGTTTTATTCGAAGTTTATTTGCACTAAGCCGGGGATTTTTCATCGGTACGGAAACTGATTAATGTTTGAAAGAAGTAATAGAATTGATTGATTAAAGCGATTGTCAAACGCCTACGGCTTTATAACAAAAAACATTACTTTTATTATTATTAAATATAACCTAAAAACTGTTACCAGGTTGCTTATTATCATAATTACAACGTGTAGAGAAAGAGCATCTATCTCGTTACCTTTTCCCGTTCTCCAAGGTGAGCTTGGCAGGACCCAAAATACTTACTAGATCCAGACCAAGCTGGAATCGCTCTTCATGCCCCCTACCTATCCACAAATTCGAGATAAAGGAACTTTTTCTCTGTCGCACCTCTATCCTTTTGCGCAGTGGACCCGCAAAAGTCAAGCAACGCCCACTACGACCCGTCAGCAATAGCCGAATTATGTATGATCAATTACAACTCCTACGTAGTGTAAGGGGCACATTGCGCATTCCTCTACCAACAAGAAGTTTGCCTTGAAGACGATGCGATAATTTGAATCAGTGTGCTTCCCGATATCATAAGTCCCTTTTTTTGATAGCCTTGAGAGGCTATTTCAGCTTCGCCCTAATATGTAGGTTAGCTCACGAGGCTCAAACCGGAGTGTTGCTAACACTGAAACGCGACCCACTGAGAAGATCCGGCGAAAAACTCAGTGGGCTGTGTCTGTGGGTTGAAGTCACTTAAAACTCAAATTTGTATGGAGTTGGAACGCCTAGATTTGCCACTAGGGGCGCTGTTCCAACTGCATTTATATTTGAGTTAAATTTAACGCTATCGAGAATGTTAAAAAACTTGCACTAAGCACACAGAGAGGCGTCGAACCTTCTATTTTGACATTTATCAATGATTTTAACACAAGGTATAATTCGGTTACACGCTTTAACTGTGAGTAGCCCGACAAAAATATGCCCTGTTTTACCTTTCATTAAGGCGATATACATGATTCAATCACAAATACCACCTTTGCGGAAGAGTCCACTCGCGAAAGTGAAAATGTTGAATTGTCGAGTACCTATCGTGAGACACTTTGTTCCATTGTATGTACAGAAGTAAGTATATCATAATTGTTCGTATTACATCATAATACAACGACACACATTATGGCCACAATGCGTTGGCTATCAATTTCACAAGAGTATAATGTAATGTAGTAGACCACTTTTAACAACACAGTATAAAAAAGCTAGAATACTGTTTTAGCTAAGTATCAAATGTTTGTAAAACATCATTAATAAAATTTTATATGTAGCGACTATTTTTCTAGATCACAACGATCACCATAGTGCTAGCCAAGACTTTTGCTTTACAAAGCACAAGTCCCGCCTCGCGTGGAGTACTGGATGGTACCTCTGGGCCGGGTCTCCCAAATACCAGCTACTTCCGTTTGACTCCATACAGGAGAAGGCCGTTCGGATTGACGATAATCCCATGCTCACGGATCGTTTGGAACCTCTGGCTCTGCGAAGGAACTTCGGTTCTTTCTGTATTTTGTACAGGGGGTGCTCTGAGGAACTGCTTGTGATGATCCCATCGTCTCGTTTTTACCATCTCACCGCCTGCCACCGGAGTGGAGTTCGTCAATATTGCATGGAACCGCTGCGTGGGCCGTGTGCTCGTCTGCCTACAAGCGCAAATAAGAAAAAAGTAGTAACCCCTCACTGTTTTGTTATACAATGGATAGGTACCTACTTTGATGTCATGTTTTAAGGTGCGCGACGGCATTTGTGACAGCTATGGTTCCGGTAGTCCGGTAAGAAGAGATAAATCCATGAATGTCTTTTAACCATAATTCTAAGCATGTTAGCAACTATCGACGACTATCGTTATCATTGCTTACCATACTATGTATATAATTTACTATACCATTTATTGTTATTAAAAATTACGCAAAACATATTTTGCAAAAATAACTATTGTGTAATAAGAATTTCAGTTTTCTTTGTCATTCACAGGTTTTCGATTTTAGCACAACGTTATTAACCAGGGGCTCCCTATTTAACTATTTAGCGCTTTTTACGCAACAAGTTTCACAAAGCTGAAGTGACTTAATTCCGTGAAGGCTTTATGTATTATATTAAACATTTAAAATACTTTAGTGTAATTTACATTGTGTGCAATGTAAATGGTAAATAAAATAAACTTGCAAATATAAAGAGTGCTTAATCGCCTTGAATGGTTACTGATTATAAAAGTTAAAGTATGAAATTGCCGATTTATACTGAAAAATTGAAATTCGTTTTTTATTTTATTTAACATATTGTTTAATGAAAATATCTACCATTATTATCTATACATTGCTGCCATCTAATAGGAAGGTCATTTATGCATTTTCGATAGAACTCTAGCGATCTAGATTCTTCAAACTGTGTGAAAGTAGGTATTTTGTACTTCCTCCTAGNAAGTTAAAGTATGAAATTGCCGATTTATACTGAAAAATTGAAATTCGTTTTTTATTTTATTTAACATATTGTTTAATGAAAATATCTACCATTATTATCTATACATTGCTGCCATCTAATAGGAAGGTCATTTATGCATTTTCGATAGAACTCTAGCGATCTAGATTCTTCAAACTGTGTGAAAGTAGGTATTTTGTACTTCCTCCTAGAATGAAAACTTTATATCACGTAGAAAAATTTTCAAATCACGAAAAAAATGGTAGTCCGTTGGAGCAAGATCTGACGAATACGGAGGGCGACGAATGGTTTCTAATTGCAATTCCTGTAGAGCTAAAACGGTTTCTCGTGCTGTATGAGATCTCGCGTTATCATGGGGCAATAATGGTGAAGATCGATTCATAAGTCGGGGCTGTTTCACTGCAAGTTTTGCTATCATTGTTCGGAGTTCAGCACAGTAGACATATGCCGTTATTGCTTGACCAGATCGGAGATAGCTATAGTGAATAACACCATGCTGAGACCACCAAAAGCTACCATTACCTTTTTATTGGCTTTGCGTTAGGACACAGTTGCGGCGTTTGACTTGGGGTAACAGTCATTTCATTTTTCGCTTACAACTATCGTAAAGAATCCACTTTTCATCACATGTCACAATTCGATCCAATATTCCTTCAGTTCTGTGTCGATTCAACAAGGTAACACAAGTTTCAACACGCGTTTCTTTCTGCAGATCAGTCAAATTATGAGGCACTCATTTTTCACATTTTTTTACTTTATTGATTTCACGCAAATGAGTCAATATTGTTGGTAAGGTAACGTTAAACCATGCCGCTAATTCCTAGGTAGTTTGTCTTCCACGTGGTTCGTTCTTCAAATCAAAATTTCCATCACGAAAGAGTTTAAACCAAAATAGTACGGTGCGTTCACCAGCAGTCCCCTCTCCAAAGGCAACGAGCGATATTACGAGCTGTTTCTGCAGCGTAAGTCCGCGTCGGAACTCGTATTCAAAAATCTATCTTTATCCATCAATCCATCGTTCTTGTCTAAGCTGAATAAAAAAAACAACTGGAAGTCGATAATCGAATGTCGCACCTTTTTTAAAAGAAGAACCTCATAAGTACCATTTGAAAGTTTCACTCAAAAATCTCAAACCATGAAGGCTCTATGTCAATTCGAAGTACCTATTCCAATAAAACGTCAATTTCATACTTAGCCCCTATTATATTACCCGACCCGTGTAGGAACCCCGGTCGGAGTCAGTGTTATTGAAAAATAGTTTGGTATTCACTGGTGCACCCGCACAAGAATTGTTCTTGTATGTGTTTCTGGTATCAACAACACAACAGAAAATCCTACTTTGGAACCGTGAAATACGGTGTATTGCGGAATTAACAACAGCGATGTTAAATTTGTAAAATTTAAGTTAGTTAATTTTATAGTTTTAGTTATGTAAGAGATGGTACTCGTTCCCTCGATATCACCCACATATGTACATCTATATTGAGATAAATAATATTTAATCCAAGTAGGTATATGAACTTAAAAAAATGATTTTTCTTTATAATTGTTGATTGTACTTGATTGTAGAAAAACTTAATTTGATTAAGATATCGACATTTATGAAAAAAAAACAATTCGTAAGAATTACATTGAAAACTTATTAACTCACCATTATTTACATTTCCGGATTTACAGCGCTATTTATGATCAATTAATCTATTTGATTTTTGTTGTCCTCTTTACTCAAAAAAACTCAAGTTCAAGAAATTAAAATTAATTTTAAAATAGTATTTTATTTACTCATTTCTTTAAACGGTTTGCGGACTTTACTGACGTGTAATAAAACCAGATGCTTAATAATAAAACTTTAATCATATAAAAAAGTAACATATTTACAAAAATCGACATCAATTTGATGCAATACTAACGAGAAAGTGCAACACTTTATGGCATTTTGCCAGACCTTTACCTGTATCCGTCTACTTTATCTGCTTTTTTAAGCTAATACAGAACCTGTCTTCTGCTGATGAGTTATTTTCGTGAAATAGAGGTCGCGTCTATCATGTTGACATTTTTATTGTTTTAGTTTTAGAATAAGTAAAAAATGACATCTCTACTATTCTAAATGCTTAAATTTGACGCGTTTAAACATATTTACTAGGAAATGTTGTCTTGTAAATCTACAGAACTATGAAGTTGCTTGAGCATTTAACCGAAATCAATTAACTTCAGTCATTGGAAATTATTTTACTACAAAGATTGTATTAGTGGGAAAAATTGATCAGCTATGGCATTGAGCTACAGTTTATAGGTACTTAGGTCTGTCAATTTAGATTCATGGAGCTCCATATTCTGACGAAGGGGCCGAAGCAGGGGGTCCATACTCAGGTTTCGGGGGTGCTGCCGCCGGGTAACCTTCTTGTTTCTGTAAATAAAAGAAAATAAATAGAGTTGTCTGTGCTATTTATTTAATGAATTGATGGAAAAATAATTCACGGAGGACCCAAAACCTGATGTCTGAGGACATAATTAGATATATGTAGTATTTTAATTTAATTTAGTTAATAATTATTTGGTGTGTTATTTGGAAGTGTAATCTTCTCTATAGGTAACATTTGTCATGTGCTTTAATGGGTCCAGTTATAAACAAATATCCGTTCTGTATTAGTATTCACACAACTATATACAATTTTTTTTTAAAGTATATATATTAATGACATTGCGACAAGCGATTCACTGTTCCTAGTGCTAAAGCTAATAAAATTTGCTCAACTATTAATAATAGAATTGTACTAATAAAACGCACACAATAAAAAAAAGCAAATGCGCTTACTTTTTAATAGTAGACGGTAATTAATTATTTGTTTGGATATTTAACAAAGAAAAACTTACCTACCTTCGTTTTAGCGTTTATCATTTGCATATTGGGTGAAAAACAAAATAACTCTGAGTATTATCACATTATATTATAGCCTCTGTCTAATTGTACTAAGAAATTTACTGTGTACGGGGCTACTGTCAATTTAATGTTAAAAACAATTACTTTTCTAATTCCAAAGGACCGACAAAAACCATTTGCTATTAACAATGGCCGTCGTCAATTAAATTGGTGACTACTATTGTGAACATCAACATTATATTCTTGTCCCATGCTTCGATCGATGAAATATAATTGACACTGGGTAAATCAAATAACAAACCGACATCTCATATATTGTCTTATTACGAATAATTATTGAATCGTTTCTATCTATCGATCTATTATTGACAATAAAAGATAAAGATCGAATTTTTATCATAACTATAGACTATAGATATGCCCGCTGTTTTGATTTAAATTTAATTTTTTATTATACTAAATAAAGACTTGCTAGTCATTCCCTACACAAATTCTTGCTTTATAAATAGCTCTTTCTATGTAAAGAATCTATTCGATCTATTTCTTCGTGACAGATAAACAAAACTAAAAAAACCTACATATCGGCATTTACTTAGAATATTGTTATTATTATAATGACATCAGCGCGATAATAAATTATGCAACTGCCCTGTGTGAAAAAAGTTGAAACTGTTTCTTATACACACACACATTCCCCTCGTTGTGTTGTTTATAAAGACCATCAATTATAATGCTATTAGAACGAAATAACTGATATGTATACTGTAACATCTTACGCAACAGCTTTTTATTTTTTTAAATCATAATTCAGTCACGTTTTATTTTTATGTACAATAATAACCGTTCGTATGTTCAACAAGATTGTTGGAATAAATAAATTTGACAGAATAATATCCATTGGAGTGGCTTTCTAACAGTATTGAATCTTAACCACTTCTTAATTATATCCAAACGACAATGGATAATAACACATTCGAAATTATTTATTTTATAAAAAACAGCATCCACTCTAACAATAAAAAAATGTTTGGTTTCATTACTTCCTGTTCTAGAGAAGTAGACCGAATGCTGTGGGAGCTCATTTTTATTGGCTTTTCAGGTAATCGATATACGCTTGTCGAATCAGTTATGGTCTTTGAAAAGTTAAGTCGAGGTCAGATATCGCCTCATGACGTATCGTTATCCCTTCTGCTGACTTGTAGGATGTTATGGAACATCCACTACTACCGGGGTCGTCGTACCCCCTTACGGGTGTCGGGTGTACGAGACGGTCCTCGCTGTGACCCCATTACCAGGCCAAAGGAACATCCAAAATTTTAACGGTCCATTATATATGCAACCGCTCGCGAACTCTACTCCATGTTGCACAACAAGGCCTGCTTTCAAATATACGCCTCTTGGCACGGTGTCTACAAACAATTTTAAAAATCCCTTTTGTAAAGTCAGTCCTTATTTATCCCAAGAATTCTTCTCCAGCATCATATTTCTTAAGAGCTATTTCGATTTAGATATTTACATAGATATTTTTCGATTTCGTTTATCCAAATAGTTTCTTGAATTAATCGAGAAAATTCGTCACGATTTTCAACCTTTTCAATTTCATCTGGGTAGCCGTTATTAAAGATTAATGCGTCCAAGTAAACTTTAAATAGAACTAACTACACTATAACGCTAATCACCGAAAATAATAAAAAAGAAATTTTGAGAATCCATTAAGAAATTTTATAGTAAAATGGATACTTTAATTCGGGAATACCTAAATAATAATAACATAAAATGTAATTGATTGCGTAAAGCGAACGGCAATGAATAGGGATGACAATTCTGCAAAACAAGATCCTGAAATCAGGACGGGATCCAGTATAATCTTATAATTGTGATCGGTAAACCGGAGTTGGCGTAATTTCATTAAAGACTGATTACTATTATAATTACCTCAGATAAAATTTTAAAGCAATATTTTTAGATTAAATAGAGTACAAAGATTACAAAGTTACCATAAATTTATGTTTTTGTAATTTTTATTATTAAATAAGTAGTTAAATTGTAAAATAATTAGCCAATGAGGTGTAAGTAACCAATGTTGGTAATAATTCAAATTCAAATTTTTTTTTCACTATACCCTAATGAATAAATAATACTTAATGAAAATTGTAAAGAAAAAAAATTTTCTTGGTTAATAAGGCTACCCAATCTCAGATACATAGTTTGAACATTTAATCTAGTAGGATTTTGTATACGTTTAGGCCCTCATTTAAGGGAATTGTCCAGTGCAACAAGTAGTCCACACATATATTGTAACGTGGTCATTTTCTATCCCACAGCAAAATTGGAACCGAGCAGCTTGATATTACGAACGATAAGATATTGTAAAATTTATGAATAATTAATCTTACCTGTGTTTTGTATCTGATGAAGTAGACTTCAGGCTTCGAAGGTTGGGTTGGCGCTGGCGTCGGGATGACGATTTCAGGCTGTTCCTCTGGTTTCTTAACTAACACATACACGAGAGTTTTCTCTTCGTTCTGAGGTTGCACAGGAATAACAGGTGCGGTCGGTGTTGGAGGTGTAGGTGCTTTAATGAATACTATCTTATAGTGTTTCTGTGGAGGAGGAACATAGATCTGCTTGGGAGGTGCCGGGATCTCGTTATCTGGCGGTGGCACATGCACGTATACATGTTTATGCACTATTGGCTGTTGTGGGGGACCATATTGTGGGGCTGGGGGACCATAAGACCGCGATGGAGCCCCATAGGATGTGGAAGGAGGGCCGTATGATGATGGTGGTTCAGGACGAGCGGCTACGCATACCACAGCCGCCGCCACCAGTATCGATCTTAGTACCTGAACAAATAAATCATCTCTAAATAAGACAAATAATACTTCTAAATGTAGTTACCCACTTTATATTCATTTAGGAAATACTTCTATTTAGCACTCAAATCACGAGAAATACTGAGCTATATAAATATCACTGAATCCTCAGAGCACAATTCAAGTAAAAATTCTAAAACGTTCACTTTGTTTTAACAACCTACCATTTTTTCACACATTCTGGATCCGCGGATTGACACAGCCTTAGAGAGTGTAATGTCCAGCAATCAGGAGTCACCTGTGCTTATAAATGATGTACGCTCCATATCCAAAGGAGGGGACACTTTCGATGCTTGTTGTGCCTTGCGCAATGAGATGGTGCTCACGCGGCGCCCTCCTACCGGCGGACGCATCAAACGCTTTTTGCTGGAGGGCAACTATGCGAACGCAAACAAAAAAAAACGAAATCATTTTAATAACAACGTTCAAGCAACATCGAAAGACGACTACTACGATTTATAAAACGTTATATCTTTTACATAATTTTAAATTTTAGTGCGAAGACTAATGAAGGAGGCTTTACATTTCTTCAATTCTTATATTTTAGATAAAAACGCGCTCGTAGTTATGGTGTTAAAAAATCATGACTATAACCTATTTTCATTCAGAAATAGTTGAATATCGTTTATTTTGTATATTTTGGAATGTACCAGTACTCACATAACGTAGTACTTATATATTCCCAGGTTTATATTAATTTACGCTATCACACTACACAATGTTGTCGTGGTCGCTATAGGTACATAATAATATGTATCTTCCAGACATCGGATGTGGGAAAATTCACCAACTGAGTGCTCACACTTGTTTGATGACAACAATGTTTGATGTTTCCAAATAAATATGTTACCACTGCAACAGCATGAGGGCAGTGTTAAATGTTAGTTTAAGATGTTGTGTGGTGATAATATATTATTATGACTTTATAACAAACTGCATAGGTACCTACTACTTGCAGTTTTTCACAAATCTAAGTTGACTAAAGTAAATGTTAACAAAAATTGATAATCAAATAACTTTTGTTTTTTTCTTCTTCTTCAAAGTTTAAGCAATTTACTCGAAGTAGTTAACTTTAAAATCATCAATCATTACTTGTTTACCTGTGCATACTACAATTGTACATTGATTCGCACATGCCAATTGAAGTACATGATCAAATGCCCTCAATACTAAGTACGTTATATGAAAGTAAAATAAATAAACATTTAAGAATGTGGTGAATGTATGTATTAGTTGTTACTTAATACGACGTATGCATTCACACNACTCGAAGTAGTTAACTTTAAAATCATCAATCATTACTTGTTTACCTGTGCATACTACAATTGTACATTGATTCGCACATGCCAATTGAAGTACATGATCAAATGCCCTCAATACTAAGTACGTTATATGAAAGTAAAATAAATAAACATTTAAGAATGTGGTGAATGTATGTATTAGTTGTTACTTAATACGACGTATACATTCACACCTGTAGAAACATGCATAGTTAATTCGTTTTAAGTTTCCGAAAAACTCTAGTCTAATGAGAAAATTAGTAAATTTCTGATTGCGATGCAATTGTCTTAATCTTAAATTATTATATAAGAGTAATACTCTGCCGAAATCAGAACAATTTTATTTTAACTATTCACGGTAAACATTTTGTTTATGCTTATCTTTATCTTATTATGAAAACAATAATTTCATACAAAGTTCACCTATTTGAAAGATTTACTATTACCAGAATATGACTTTCTAATACCCATTTTTAAATTTCGTAAAATAGCACAGCATCATTGTTTTTCTTTTTTATGTAAACAATAATAATTGACCTTCTCTTGACCTGATGCAAATCCGGTGTGGTAATATAGAAACATACGAAGTTAAGGGTGATTTATATTAGTGGATACTATGAAGGAATAAGATCAAAACCACAAAATTTATAAGTTTGGTTTAACTGGTAATATGAGTCTGACCCCGAGTATTTACCATGACACAAATCTGTCTATTTGGGCTGCAAACAATTGTTTGCTGCCCAAATACAGGTTACAGGAGCACATAATTATGCGCATAATCATGCGCTCCTGTAATCACTATACATACAACTAAGATTTCGACCTAAGGTCTCAAGATGGGTGGCGACTTTCACTTCGTAATCGCATAAGGATTCCAGTAACCATTTAACACCAGCTGGACCATGAGTTCGTCTACCAATCTAGTGCAATAAACAAATATAAAGTAATAAATAACGTTGTTTAAAAAGATTAAATACCTAAATATATTAAAGATTTTTAAAGATAAAATTGTGCTAGGTTTGAGGTCAACTACAAACGAGGAAGGAAGTTCGATTGAAGGCGATAAAAGTTATAAAATAATCAGCTTATCATAGGGTTCGAACATTGGACGAAAATCGGTAAGAGATTGCGCTGTAGGTATAAGTTATCCACCGCTGAGAAGGGTGGAGATAATTGAGGTAGGAGTCTTGGAAATATACATAATCAGGCTTGCCCTACGGCTTAGTTGTCTAAAGCTAAACAATTATGAACTATAACACGTAAGGAAGAAATGTTAATTTAGGAATGGATCGAATATTTTTTTATTATTAATTAAGTTTTTTAAGCATTAAATATATTAAACTTTTAGATCAATTTTAATAAATTAATACGATTAATATTACATATCACTTTAATATTACACATTTTTAAATGAATCACTTTTTACAAGCACCGCTAGAATTTGTACATCCCTTAAATAAAAACGTTGACCTAAGAAACTTGTATGTGACGCTATTGTTAGCAATCGGGTTATAGTTTACTTACGCTCTCACGTTCTGTCGACTCCTTAGAAATAATGAATCTAATCAATTAATTATCCATCCTCGTATTTCAAAAGCTAAAAAATTTAAACTTGAATGAAATTGATTGAAAACTAATACCCATATTTTTTCCGCTACTTTATTTTATTATCAAAGCAGGCAACTGACCTACCTGATTGGATGTATGTGATTTGATCCCTTGCTTACAAATATCAGGAACACAGTGGATAGACAAGCAGCAGTACACAAGGAAAAATGTAGCATCGTGGTTAGCAGCCATAGCAGCGAGAGTTAGATGAACGGACGTGATAAAAATGTTTTTAAAAAATATTTTACGGTTGTCCCTCGGTATACAGGTACTGAAAAATCATCACGTACTGCTAAAATAGCTTTTCGCAAACGGAAAACACTAGATTTTCTGCCATTTAGAGAGATAATATAACCTAATGAAACATATAAAATTTTCACGAATGATACTCATTCCTATAGAACCTTTTAATGATTTAATTCCCTGCTTATTTTACCCATTTCTATTGCAATCCTATCCTGAAAGTTTTTGTTTTTACGAAAGATTGAAAACTATCTGAAAAATATTACATTGCTATAAATAAATTAAGTATAATTTAATACAAGATTTTTTGCCTTTTAACCTTTGTAATTGTTTGTAATGATTTTCCACTTTTAAATGGAAATTATTGAACGTGCATAAGATCCTTCAGTTCTTTCGATTATTTTACTTCAGCTTGACGCATTGCAAAAATTTTGCACAGTTATCGACGAACACCGTTTTTAATTAAAACCGTAGGAAGTTTACAAAAGGCAAATTCGAGAAATTATAATAATCACTTGGATAGCACAGTGTGAGTTAGTAATTTGTAATTGTCACAACATAACAGCATCCACAGAACGCTTCGGACGCTTGTCTCAATCACAGACAAAAAAGACCACATGTTGACATTAAGTGTTAATTGTTTCTTTTGTTTTTGAAATAATAAAAAGAAAAAGATGACAGCGGCACTCAAATATTTCTGGCCTTTCGAAGAAAAACATAAGGTAGGATTTATTTAATTGTTTTTTTTTTTGTTATGTTATTTATTTTAATAAAAATCTTTTGTTTTTATTTGAATACAATTTAAATAAAAAATCATAAATTTATATCATAAAATTTCGCACGCTTGCAATAATCTACATTATTAATGTTTCTTATCGAGACTACTAATATGAATTAATTAACATTTGATTAGGTATACTTATACGGCCGAATGACCGTCTGTCCACAATTTTAAAACTTTAGAAATGTTTTTTAAATATAAAATGTAAATAATACAAGATTCAACCGCAAGTACGAGTTTGAAAGACCTCCGAAACCACTATTATTTTTCTTTTATGCAAAGCAGAGCTATAACAAAATTATTGCTAAAATACTTTTTCAAATTTCCTTATATATTTGACTTTAATTGCCAATTATGTTTTGGATTTTCATCTAAGAAAAATACCGGTTTTCTTGTTTTGAATGCTTAATGTTCGAAAATGAAATTTTGAAATCTTATGTATTTTCTTTGCTTCTTAAGGATTTAAATCCTTTTAAAGTAAGGTATGAGATTCTAACGATCCTACTGAAAGCTAGTTTACTTTTATAAGACCTAGACTAATTTTTTAGTAATTAAAAACAAATATAATTATTAAATCTATAGAATTTTTAAGCAAATTTATAAACTAAGCTAAATTCATTGTTTTATTAGAATGCTTAAGTGACCTCGAAGAATACTGATATTTGTGAACACGTTCAGCATTCAATAACATTTTACCGCACATTCCAAATTTACTCTTACGAAATTTTAGTCAAGGATGAGTTTGAATTGCAATATCTTATGGTAATAGAAAAACTAAAAAATCAACCCGGCTCGTATAATTAGCCGTTACACGATATAACCTCTGACTCTCTGACGTATAGGCACGCCATCCACGAATAGCTACTTTCGAAATAAAAAATTTTGCAGGTGCAATACATTTTAACTGAGTTAATCAAATCCATTCTGCTTTCACATTGAACCTTCCAATTTCCTAAAAAACAATGATATGAGGCCTATAAAATCAAAGGCAGCTAAACGCCATAATGTTTTTTTTTTTTTTTTTTTTATTGCCTTTGTAGGCAGACGGGCATACGGCCCACCTGATGGTGAGTGGTTACCGTCGCCCATGGACTTCAGCAATGCCAGGGGCAGAGCCAAGCCGCTGCCTACAAAATGTCGTAAAATGTATTAACAATGGCGCTATCTTATTTAGTTAGTTGAACACGCTTTAGTGTTTTCATGTTATAACAAATGCAGCTAAATCTCTAACAAATTCGGTTCAAAAAAGTTAAGTTTACTGTGTAATAAGTACTAATAAACGAAGTTTTATCATTTAAAATTCAGATTATTAGTAATATTCTCATTCTTTATAAATCTGCTTT